CAGACATCAATGTAATATTAAGACCTCCTAGAGTGTTACAGTGGCATGGCAACATAGCACTACACTTCTGAGTGGTCAAGATAGGAATCAACCTAGCACTAGAACACAGGGATCTGTTCAAGTAAAACTATTAAGGACCTTCTTACGACACCAAGGCCAACTGTAAAATCCTGAAAGTAACTATTTGTGGGATATGCTAAGCCTGTAGGTGGTTATGGGATGGGAGCCCTGTCTGTTTTTTTCCTCTTCCTCCTCCTCATTTCCTGCAACAGGTAGCCTATTATCTGAAGTTGCTCTCTGATACTTTAATGAAAGATAAAAATATTATCAAATAGAAAACTGTGTCCTGCAAGTGGGCATGAGGGTCCTGTCCCAGACTGTAGGCTGCTGTCACAAAATATCTTATAATGGAAGGTTTATGAGCAACCTAAGTTTACTCCTCAGTGCTGGCAGCTGGGTCACAGTAGACTCTGTGGCTTGTTCAGACTCAATCCCATGTCAAGGCCTTTTAAGCAGAAAGGATGGAAGAGCTCTCAGGATTAAAAATAAGGCATTCTGTTCTTGAGGACAGAGTCTCCCTGCAAAGCTTATTTCTCATGCAATCATCTTTGATTTAACTTCAACCTAAAAAACTGGGAGGAATGAAAACAACACAGGGGCCACAGCAGATGCCCACTGATTTTTTGTTTCACTAGTGTTTTCTGTTTGAGTTTTGTTGTTGTTGTTTGCTCTGGCAAGCACTTAGAATAAAAAGCAAAAGGTGGTGGCTGGTGAGATGGCTCAGGGGGTAAAGGCACTTGTCACCAAGACTGATGACCTACGTTCAATCCCTGGAACCTACATGAAGATGGAAAGAGAAAACAGACTTCAACATCCATACATACTCAGGGCTTCTGCACACAGAAACATACACTCACACTATAAAAATGTTTAAAAAGTAAAAGTTCTTGAAGTAAAGACACTTGTGGAATGTTTGGCTCGACCCCCATTCCTCGTTTGTAGAGCATGTCCTGAGGACTTTAACAATCAAGTTGATACATATCCTCAGCACATAGACACAAAAATCACTGGCTATGATTTGCTTTAGGCTAGAGTTTGTTGAATACCTGATACTGTTTGTGAAGCCAGGAAACAGAGAAAGTCACTACAAACTCCTCATGTGACCCAGAGGCCTCCATCAGGCCTTACAACAACCACATAGCCACAAAGTACTCACAGGTCCTAGGAAGTCCCACTGTATCACAAAAGCCACACAGGACCCATGAGGCTTCTGTAGGCATAGACCCCCATGAGGCCCAATGAGACCCACACAAGACAAGATGGGGGAGGAGAGTGATCAAGGGCTTTGGGAAAGTTTATAAACATCTCAGCATATATATACTTCACTCATAGTAAAGTCCACCAAATATCAATGAACTTTCAAAAAGAAAAATCCAATTAACCTCCATTCTTGAGGACCAACTAAACATTATAGTTTCAGTTTTAATACAACACACAGTCAACAAAAGGCCTAGGGAGACAGCATCTCCAGCAAGTGCTGCTCCTGTCAGGGGGAGTCTGCTCAATTCCATGGGTAGTCTACAACAAAAGTGGATTAAGCTTATAACTACTCCCTATCCTTTTGGCTTTTGTACAATTTAATTCTGTAAGAAGGTAGGTGGCAGAAAAGAGTTTCTTAAAGGCTTCATCTATCTTTGTGATTGACTATTTTTTGAACCAGGTTTGATTCACTATGTTGCTCAGACTGGTCTCCAACTTCTGAGATTATTGTCTCAGTCTCATGAGTAGTAGCAAAGATTATTGACATATTTTATCATGTCCAGCTAAATTTAATGATAATCAACTCAGAGAACTAAGGAATAGTTCCAGTTTTTGAAGCATAATGCAAATGCACTGTGCAGCATTCTTGCAATATGAATGGTAAAATTGTTAGGGTAACAACAAACAACAGGAAACTGACCTTCAACCTCAATGTATTTCTAAATAAAGAAAAATTACAAATTCAACTTTAAATCCATTTCTGAACATCAAACAAACAAGGCAGCAAATAAGAAATTTGGCCATTAAAGAATAACAATACAGACCCAAACAAACCTTGTTTTAAAGCACAAACTCCAATAATTCTAGTCAATGACCTTGTGAAGTTGAGGTGGAACCTCCCAAAGTCCAGAAATGCTGGGAGGTGGTCATCAGGGGCAAGAGCATCTAGAGTGACTTTGGAATTCACTACTGTAGCTCAGGTTTGCCTCAAAACCAAACTCACTGCAATCCTGCCTCAGCTCCCAAGTGTTGGGACCTATAAAGGTGTGAGCTACCATGTCTAGAGCTACACATAACTCTTAATTTACTTAAGAAATTTTCTTGGGTATGGGCAATATGATACTTAAAACTTGATAAATGTCTGGCTGACAGCAATATTGCAAAGCCTGATCCACCTTCTGGTACACCCACTTTGTGGGACTTTCTCTTCCCAGTGTGCATAGGGTCTTCATTCTAAAAAAGTTCAGCAGATGTAATGACATACCACTTCCAAGGGTACACTGTAAAGCCTAGAGCCTCCTTCCAGAGGCTGCCTTGCTCTAACATTCTCCACTGTCCTTTTGAGATGCCCCAGGAAAGGCTGGCAATGTAGGAGGGAGCCTGGATTGGAACCCCCAAAGGAGGCCTACTAGTATCCTGACTACAGGCCTATGAAACTTGGCCACAAGAACTGCAAGGTCGGGCCTGGGCTCTTCCCCTTCTACTGGAATCAATTTTTGACTCAGGGCACTACATTCTGGGGTAATACATTGTAAAGCAACATATAAACATTGCTCTATGTTTAAAAGTCCAAGCATGGGAATATGGTGCGTGTCATCGAACCTAAACAAATTCTCATTCTTCCCTAAAAGTTCACACAGTAAATTACAGTAAAGGGCACAACCAAAGAACAAACCAGAAGCAAGCTCTGAGTACAAGGGTCTCAAAAGGTAAAGACACTTGGCAAATACAACTTTCCACTTTGGGCCATTCAGGAGCACAACTCAGTTGACATCAGAGCTAAGGAACCACAAAGTAAAGTGACTCAAAATGAAACATGGAATTGACCAGTTGAAGTATCTCTTGGAAATCTAAACAACCCAAAGTTTAGACTCATCCTGTAGCCAGCACTTTTAAATGCACCCTGACCAAACAGAGCTTCCACAAAGGAACACACCTGTAGCTGACCACTCCAGGTCTGTATGGGAGCTAGGTCACTCCAGAATCCCCTGGGCTTTTCATCGTGAAACAAATCGGGTTTTCAGTGGACATCTCAGTACTTGACGTAGTCAATAGTAGCACACTTTTACCTTTTCTGTCTCCCACAGCAGCAAAAACACACTTCACTTTCACACACACACTGTGTACTCCATGAGAGACTGACTGGGAAGATTTCAGAGAAACAAAACCCTGTTCCCAAGGTCCTCTAATGCTTTCCTTTTTAGGGGTGAAACAGGAGAGTGGGTGCTAGGTGTTCATCCATTCAACAGCCCCCTCAATCCTCTGCCCACTAACCTCACCTTCCTATCTACTCCTGGAGTGCCTCCTCCCCACTGGATACACCTCTAGCCTCTGTACACACCCTCATGATCTGGGGAAAGAAAAGGAGGCATGACCTGTGGCCAAGACTAGCGAAAGACACAGTCCTGTAGGATCTGGGGAGAACAGGGGACACAGCTTGGTTAGGGCCTGGAGCAACAAGTACAGGGCATGCTCTTGATACCCAAGTCCTTAGAGCCAGGATGAGTTATTGTAACCTATCCTAAGACCCTCACCCACTCCATAACAACAGGGTGATCAGGGACTTGTGGGAAGTGCAGGGTTTAAATCCTTGAGCTCAAATAACCAGGAAGCCACATATAAGCTCTTCACAGAAAAGGTCCAGTGTGGGCTGGGTAGATCTGGGCCACCCCTGGATCCCCAGTGCCTAGTGACCTTTTCAGATTTTGGGGTCCATATGTCTGGAGTCCCAGGACCCCCTGGTACTCCATGTACTCCCTGAGGACCTCCCTCGTCGTTCAGCCCGAAGGCTTTCATCCTAAATCCACCCACCTTTAGTTCTATTTGTCCTGACCCTCGGGGCTCCAAACTGCTCTAAGGACTGCCATAGTGGTCCAGATTCCTCTGGACCAGCCTTGGTTTCCCAGCTCCCTACAGCTAATTTGTCCCTGGGTCCTGACCTTCCTATGGCCTTGTCCCAGAGTCCTGGCCCTCCATGGGGTGGTTTCAGGGTCTTAACCTTCCTCTGTGATTTATCTTAAGTTGAACCATCTCAGTGATTATGACATTTTCTAGGTCCTGTCGGGTTCTTGAGATCCAGTCTTCCTCAATGACCTTTCCTAGAATCTTGTGAGGTCTCTAGTACTGACCCTCCCCCCAGTGACCAATCCAAGGGTCGGGTGTCCACCTTTTTCAGGTCCTAGCACTAGGAGGGATCTGCCTGCCCCAGTATTTCTGGCCTGGTCAGGGTCCTGTCTGGTCTGAGGTTCTGATCTCCCTGAACCCAGCATGGTCCAGACTCCTGTTCTTCCTGGGTCCTGTTCTCTGGAATCCTGCCTGGTGCTTGGTCCAACCCGTCTGGGATCCCTGCCTTCCTTAGATTCTGTTCTCTCGGGGTCCAGTACGCTTGGAATCCAGCCTGGCTCGGTGTTCTGCCTGCTCTAGGATTCTACCCACCCCTGGTCCAGCCTGGTCCAGGGTCCAACCTGGTGCAGGCTCTTGTCTTTCTAGGGTTCTGCCTGGTCCCGGTTACTGTCCTCCCGGGGTCCAGGTAGTTCCGGGATACAGATCCAGAATAGCCCAGGGTTCTGCCCTCCCAGGGTCCAGACCTCCCAAGTCCTGGCCTTCTGGCAGGCTTTTAGGGTCCCGCCTCCCGGGCCTGCAGAGGACGCTGGGCTCGCAGCTTTCTGCCGACCATGGGCCGAGGCCGCGGCCTGAGGAGCGGGCGCGCGGGCCAGGCCGGGCGGGGCGGGCTCACTGACCTGCGTCTCCGGCGGCGGGCGAGCGGGCGCACGCGGGGGCTCGCCGGGAGGGGGAGGGGGCGCCGCTCCCTCTGGGTCCCCCCTAAGAGGAGGAGAAAAAAGCCGTGCGGAGTTTAAAACAAAGAGGCGGAAATGCCCGAACCCAGCCGAGTGCGGAGTCGGGGGCGCCGCTGTTGGAGCATGCGCAGTGTGCGGCTCCGCTCCCACCTCGCGAACGGGAGGAGGCTGGGCCTCTTGAGGGCGGAGCCTACAGGGGTGGGGTCCAGGCGGGGCCAGAGGGCGCAGGCGCGTGCTAGCAGTGCTGGACTCTGGAAGCTGGACCGACGAGACAGGCGGGGTGGAGCTCAGGGGCGGGGCCGCAGGGTGAGAGGTGGGTCAGAAGGCGTGCTCAGAGGCAACAACCTGAAGAACCAGAGACTGCTGGACCTCAGGACCATCTGACAGGCGACTGTCTAGGTCGGGAACTAAACCGGAGCACCCGGACGACTGGTTTCCTCCCGTGTAAGCCTTCCTCTTACATTCCTGTCCTGACTAGGAATCAGCCAGGTGCTCAGAAGTCTGTGGACACCTTTCTGCTCGACTTTCGAACCGTGGAAGCCTACAGCTCCATCTGTGCTTAGTGATCAGTGGTCACTACAACTGGAAGAGGGCAGAAACAGAGAAAGGGAAGTCTTTTTTTTTTCCTTTCAAGACAGGGTTTCTCTGTATGTTCTAAGACTCACTTTGTAAACCAGGCTGGCCTCGAACTCAGAGATCCGCCTCTGCCTCCTGGGTGCTGGGATTAAAGGCTACCACACCCCGCCAGAAGGCTGTTCTTAGGGAACAAGGTAGTTGTGACAGCAGTGTGTTAGACAGGCAGTAGGACAAGGAAGGAGTTAGAGGGGGACCTGCAGGAGGTGGGGAGGGGGAGCCATGCCTTGAAAGGAATCCAGTAAGAGCATGTGTGCAGTGAAGTCGAAAGGCGCTATTTAAAAGTCCTGCTGACATCGTATGGATGGTCCTTTGAAGGTAAGGCTCCAATGGGAGCAAGGCAGCTATGCTCTACAGAAATCTGACCGACCTTTGCAATCCACAGAGGCTATTGATGAGGGACAGAGTTGAGAGATAGTCCCAGAGTAAATGAGGATATGGTGTTGGTATTGGAAATAGCAAACAGGTACTGTTGAGCAGCCCATAAGTAGCCCTGGACTTAGAGCACAGATCCCAGGAAGTCATCTAACTTGACAGACAGACCCTGAAACCACCTGTCTATAGGTGGGCTTTTCATACCTTAGGTAAGACCATATTCAGATGTCATTCTAGGTCCAGGGTTCATACCTTATTTCTGTGTCTAACCATCAGGGATGCCTCGGGAATTCTAGCTTTACATTACCTCTAGTCTTTCCTGAAGGTTGTTGCTCACTTTAGGACCCCACCTTCCAGCATTGAAGTCTTCTCTAGCCATCAGCTGATACATCAGAATCCAGCCAAATGTCCCTCCCCCCCCCATCCTCACCATGTATCCCTAGGTTAGTGAATAACTTCCAACTAGTCTCCTTGTATCAGTCCTTGCTCCTTGATCCATTTTCAACACAAAATAGTGGCTTTTGTAAAGCATTAGTGGGGACATGTAACATGTTCAAAACACTCCAAGGCTTTGCCCATAGCAGAAAGCAGTGGGTTAGGGTAACCTGGAGGCTTGAAGAGACCTGAAATCATATAACTGTCTTATTTAGTAATATACTAAGTTCACAGGTACATGTGTGTGTTCTGGTTCAGCCAAGCAAATGAAGGAACCTAAAATTATGGTAATCAGTTTACATGATGGGAAGGGAATACTTCCCTCTTCTGTCTCCAGCTAGCCTCTCTGGAGTATGTGGTCCATCCTCTGTGATGAATTTTCTCTTTGATGGTCTTCTCATCACCTACAAACTCACAGTGGGGCTTCTGGGAGAACAGAATGAAATGACCCCATGCTTCTTTTTTTTAATGTTCTAAAATATTTTTATTGTATGTATATGAGTGTTTTCCTGCATGCATGTCTGTGTATCACGTGTGTGCCGTTCACTGTGGTGGTATTTTGTTTGTGATCTAACAAATAAAAGTTTAACTGAAGATCAGAGTGTGGAGCTAAGCCACTAGTTAGCCACAGAGACCAGGCAGTGGTGGTACACACATTTAATCCCAGAACTTGGGAGGCAGAGGCAGGTGGATCTCTGTGAATTCAAGTTCACCCTGGGGTACACAAGACTGATCCAATCTAAAGGATAAACAGAGCACTTTGGATCACATGTCTTTAATCCCAGTACAGGGGAGGTAGAGACAGGAGTGATATGGCTGGGCAGAGAGAGGAATATAAGGCAGGAGGAGACAGGTGCTCATGGCATTCAGTCTGAGAATTTGTAGGGACAGGATCACCCCTTTGGTCTGAGGATTTAGTAGAGGTAAGAGGTCTCTCTTATGGTTGGATCCTTCTCTAATCTGTCAGCAGGTTTTCATTATTAAGACCTATTAGAACTTGTGCTATAGTTCCCTTGGAGGCCAAAATAGAGTGTTGGATCCCTAAAATTGGAGTTATGGACAGTTGTTAGCTGCCATGTGAAGTCAAATTTAGACCCTCTGGAAGAGCAGCTAGTACTCTTAACTCCATCTCTATGACTCCAAGTGACTCCAAGTTGAGAGCAAGTGCTCTCAACTCTGTCAGGTTTTCCAACAAATGCTTGACCCAGGGCTCCAAACACTTTGAGACTAAATCCAAGGTCTGTTATCACTGATCCCTGCAGTATTTGACTTTGTTATGTTCTCCCCCTAGAAAGATATCTTGCCCCTAGCTATCCTGAGAAGATCCCATTAGCACCTGAGTAGAGTATGCTAGGCAGCAAAATTGCACAGAGAAAAGAGTAAAACTCGTCCTGGGTTCTGTCTTACAGCTGGCTCCTACTCCCTGGGACATTGTCCTTATGCTCTCACAAATTCCTTGATGCCTCTGGGCACACTAGACACCTGCACCTCAAGGCCCTAGTGGAGCTTTTTTCACCCACAGTGGCTGAAAGCATGGAAAATGTAGGTGCAGCTCTAGCCCTGACTGTAAAATAGGCATGAGTATACAAAGGCTGTGTGATCCTCCAACCAAACAACTAAGACACTGGACAAAATAAGTTTAAATATCAATTTACAGACATGTCAGACAATCAGATTGTGGGTAAGCCTTGAGGGAAGCCAATAGACCTGTCCAGATAAGAGCTCCAACTTCAAAGCCTGCAGCCTAGCATTACTAGTCCTTCAGGAAAATTGCTAGAGCTGGGGAAGAACAGGGGGAAAGAGAGAAGAGAGGGATCTAGGAGTCCACCAGGCAGGCACCATTGTGTTCCCATTAGTTGGGCAGCCTTGGTAGTCTAGGGGCATCCAGAAGGCTTCCAGAAGTGGGATAATCTAAAAAGATGGCCCTGTCCAGCCTGATAAAGCCAGGAGGCCAGGGGGAAACAGAAGTACTTGGTAGCTTGGCCTTGTCTATGATATTGCTATGATAAAACACTATGACCTAACAGCACAGTCTCTCAAAGTACACCTATAAATAGCATTGGAGAGCTGAGTAGTGTACATAAGCAGTTTCTGACCTATGTTCCTGGTACTCAGGTGGGAGGAAGACCAGAAGATGGACAAAAACACAAACAAACAAACAAAAACCCAGTCACTGTAAGGCCATAGAACAGCAATATCTATTGAGAAAAAAAAGCCACAGACTATCATCAAGAAAAGCAGAAGCAGTTAATCCAAACATCTGGCATGTTCAAAACTTGGATGCATAAAACCCAATACTATAGCATCACAGGACTCTTGAATTTTTAAAATAATGGGTGACAACTGGATATTTGTTTTCCCTCCTACATGAACTGCACCTAAAAATAACCACAGACTTGTAGGTGATGCCTCCTAATAATAATCCAGCTAATAATAAAAAATGATATTATGGAAATAGCTAGGTTGCAGCTCTATAGTTCCTGAACACTCACTATCTGTAGTGTATAAGGCCCTGGATTTGATACTATAGCTGTGCTATATAACAACTATTATTGACAAAAGCATTGCCAAAGGTAAGTGTTGTGTACCTCTAATAGACAGAGGGCACCACCAGGTAAAGACTTGCCAGAAATTCCACTTGAATCTAGAACACAGTCATTCTTAACTTCTCTTAGGTTGTTATTGCTGTGATAAAACAACATAACCAAAGCAACTTGGTGAGGAAAGGGTTTATTCTATCTTGCAGCATGCAGCTCATCATCCAGGGAAGTCAAGACAGTAACTCAATGCAGAAATATGAAGGCAAGAAGTGATGGCAGAGGCTATGGAGGAATGCTACTTACTGCCTTGCTCAACCTGCTTTCTTGCTCACCTCCCCTGGGGGTGGTACCACCCACAGTAGACTGGACCTTCCCGCATCAATTGCTAATTAAGAAAATGCCCCACTAGCTTGTTCACAGGCCATTCTGGTGGGGGCATTTTCTCAATTTCTCATTTTCTTCCTCTTCCCAAATGACTCTAGCTGTGTCGGGCTGACATAAACCTAGCTAGGACAGCACCCATCTGCTGTTGAACACTTCTGTACAATGTAAATATGTATTACTCTCATTGGTTAATAAAGAGCTGACTGGCCTATAACTGGGCAGGGGAGAGATTGGGCAGGAGAGTCAGGGTAGGAGGAGCCTGGGAAGAAGGGCAGAGTCTGAGAAGACTCCATGAGATGCAGAGTGAGCAGGATGGGAAGTATGTACATGAGGTAAACAAGCCTGGCAGCAACACATAGATTAATAGAAATGGGTTAAAGTTATAAGAGCTAGCTATAAACAAGCTTAAGCTATCAGCTGAACATTTGTAATTAATATGTCTCTATGAGGTTATCTGAGGAGCAGCTGGGGGGACAGAAAAGTCCACCTACACCCATCTTAAGAAGTTTTCCCAGATTTGACACTGAAGTAGGAATGGAGCCATGGCCACATCTGGTTGACTATAGATATGAGAAAAGAAGCTAAGGTCCCTCCCTATAGGAGCAGCTCCAGTAGCTGCTGCTGAATCAAGGAAACCAAGCCAGATGCAGCACATGTTGCAGCAGTCAGATGAGTGGACCCTGTTTTGGCATCTGGTGATGTCAGAGATTTAAGGTCCATCTTAAGATATAATAATGATGTTGTGGCTGTTTTTAGGTGGTCTCAT